CATATGTGCTATGATTGGCCTCTTAAAAATACCATTATCAGTGTGCCAGTCAGGTTGAAGGGAATATCGAAACACATTGAGATTGGTAGCCCAGAATTGGCACGGCTTTGCAGATTTTACTAACTGGCAATAGGTTATGTCTGCAACACAGGCTCCACTGACAACCAGACTTACAGTGTAGGATTTAAATATATATTGTTTATAAATTCAAAAGTAGGCTTATATTCAAGTCTTTAATTATACACAAAATTCATTTTTATATCTTAGATAATGGTAAAATAAAATAAGGTGCAGTACAGCATTATGAATGACCCTAACCGACACTTATTAATAATTCATAGCATGCAATTTACATCAAGAAATACAAGTATTAATTACCAAGCCAAAATATGTGTTTTGCTGCAGGAGAACTTATACATTTCTTCTAACGTGTTCTAAAGTAACTAGCTAGACCTCTTATTGAGTCTCATATTACAGCTCTAGTGATCCCTTCAGAACTTCAAACGTCTAAAACATTTAAAACAGCTGCTTTGTTTTTCACTTTAAATTCATTCTTTTTAAATTACTAATTACTTACACAACTATAATCTCTGTAAATGGTAGTTTTTTTTTTCCGTTGTAGTTAGCAGTTAAAATGAGGATTAATTTCAAACTAGTCATTTTGACAATATGACTAGCAGTGCATAAGGGTTTCTTTTCAGGTGTTGCAAGCTTGGAAAAAAAAGGAAGGGCAAGAATTTTCTTGATTTCTCTCAGATAATGACAAATTGGACTACTTTTGGGCTTAAAGTTTGTTCTAAACAGAAATGTTCAAAGGCAAATTAAATGCTAAAAATCCAACACTAACCTTCCAGAAGCACCCAACATGTGACTGTTTCGAAATCAGTTGAGAAGAGCTTTCAGCAAATTTACGTCGAGTGGCAAAGCCTTCCAACTGTTAACACTTAAAACTGTGACCATAGGCTTTTCCTCCACGGTATTTCGCTCAGGATAGGGTATTTTGATTAATGACTTCGGTTAATCAGAAGATGAAAAAGCCAAAATCTTGAGTGACACTCGATTAAACACAGAGAAAGACTCCCCATTACATTGCTCAAACTGTACAGTCGAGAAGAGCTTTGAGCAACTTTACGACGAGTGATAAAGCCTTCCAGCAATCAACACTCTAAACTGTGACCATCAGCTTTTTGTCCATTCTATTCCACTCAGGATAGGCTATTTTGTTTGACAATTTCGGTAAATCAGAAGCTCCAACAGCCAACCCCTTGAGCGGACACTCGTTTTGAAACAGAGAAAGACTCGCCACGACAGGACAGTTGGGTAGAGCTTTCAGCAACTTTACGTCGAGTGATAACGCCTTCAAGCAGTTGACACTTTAAACTATGACTATAAGGTTTTTCCCCACGGTATTTCGCTCAGGATAGGCAATTTTGATTGATGACTTCGATGAATCAGAAGCCGCGAAAGCCAAACTCTTGAGTAACGCTCGATTACAAACAGCGAAAGACTCGCCATGACATTCCTCAAAACTATGCAGTTGAGTGGAAGTTTCTGCAACTTTACGAGGCGTGATCCAGCCTTCCAGCGGTGAACACTTTTAACTGTGGCCATAGACGTTTTCCCCATTCTATTCCGCTCAGGAAATTATATTTTGATTGATGACTTCTCTGAATCAGAGGCCGCAACAGCCGCAAAACGTTAACGACACTCGTTTTGAAACATCGCAAGACTCGCCATGACATTCCCCGCCGCTGCATGATATTTATCATTAAAATAATACTAAATCTTCTTTGTTTGGTCATGACATTTGCTTGAAAGGCCGGCTAGATACCTCACAACATTCTCGGCATTCAAGATACATAATTCCGTTAGCCTGTTGGTTAAAATAACGAAGAAACCAAATAGCATCGGGCGTCCATCTTGGTGCTTCGCGCCAAAACAGAGCAGCAACTTTGCAACCGGATGTGATGTCATAAATCGGTGGATCATAGGTATACGAGACAAGTACCAGGCGCTATTGGAGTCGTGACCCCCCCCCGCCCCTGGCTCCGACAGTAGCTAGAAAGTGTGAGAGTAAACATTGGTATGCCTGTGGTGCGGACGGACGGGCAGCGGGCGGTGTACGGTCACGTGATTACCAAATTTTCTGGGATGGGTAGATTTACTTACCCATGGTGCTCCGCAGGCGCGCTTCGCGCGCCAGAGCTACGCTATAATTTTCGGATCACTAGATTTTCAGAAATCCGAACAGACGAAAAATTGTTAGTAGATAAAGATATGCCTATATCTACCGTTTAAATACTAAAATACGTTAAACAATGCTATGTTTAAGTGGTTTTCAACCATATTCTCGTTGGGTGCCCTTGAGTTGCTTAATTCAATCAGTAGAGTAACCTGAGATCAGGCTCTATTTTCGTTTCGTTTTGAAAATTACATTCCGGCGGGCAAGACGAAACGAAAAGAAAGCCTGATACAAACCTTTAACGAAATGTCTGCCGCCCACTTTTTTGATTGATTGACATTTGCCGAATCAGCCAATCAGAATTACCTCCGTTGCTTGTTTTTCTAGTATGCAAATTTTTCACACGTGGGAAAAATGCAGACTGGCTGACTTAAAAATAGCTTTTATCTGTTAAGTTTTTCAGCTAAAAATAAAACAGTCAGCACAGTCACATTTAACTTCTTGCCAGATTAAGGGAGATCTCGAAGGTTACTTCTGTTGGCGTAGAAGGTAAAAAGTTTTCGAAAAGACGGCGACACGATGTTCTACTAGTTTTATTATTTTGGCTGGGCGCTCTGGAATTTAAAATACTGAAATCTCTATTTTTCCGTTGTCTTGATATTTTCCTCAGCAATTTCCCCCGATTTTCAGTACATAAATCTTTAAAAACAAAAGGAAACAGCCAACGAGCGAGGACACCAGTTTTCTTGCTTTTTTTTTTTTTAACAAAAAGCGTAGTCAAACAACCAGTCTGTGAACACTGAAAATTCCTTGAACAGCGATGCGATATTTTTCGTCTAATACTTCACAGTTGGCGATTGAGGTTTCTTTCGCAGTGAGCCTCCCCTTGTGCACCCCGTTCAGAGAAGTCATTCCCGGCTAAACTTTCAAATGAAACCAGTTTTAAGATGTACAGTATTTTGATTTGCACCAGTTTGTTGGTAAATCAAAATGCACCTTGTTAGCGGTCAACAACTTGCATAGGGATTCAACTCCGCGATACACTCACTTTCCGTAAATAAAGCAAATCCTGAGAAGATATGAACAACCACATGAATTTTTTGAATTTCCATGGCACATATTAGGGCATATTTTTCTACCATAAGACCATAAAACAATAAAAAGACAGCAAAATCGATCCTTCTCTCCACCGACGACGGATCATTCACGAAAACAACCACGCGAGGAATAAGCGCTTTCGACTTCCGGCGTTTCCGACAGCCAATCTGATCTTGTGGCATTGTTCTAACAGCCAATCAGCGTTACGGCCAAAATCTGGCCGTAACGAGCACAAACTTGTAATAGTTTGTATCAGGCCCAATTTCAGCGGTAGCCGTTAGAGAGAATGTATGAGAACCGCTCAAATTGGGCCTGATCTCAGGTTATCAGTAGAGTGAGTAAAAGCTTTAAGCTATGTTTACACTATACCGGATATCTTTTGCGCCGGCGCCTGGAAAACTTTCCTGAATGGGGTTTCTGTTCACATATAAGGACGGTGAAGAGCTAGGTGGAGCCCACTCCAGTACGCATGCTCCATCCAGTGCTGAATCCAAAAATCCATGTCTGCTTTCCGCTCGCCTCTTATAGGTAAAATACGTTCGTAAAGTTGATTTTTCTTTCTTTTCCTTTTTTTAAAATTTTTTTTCCGTTATTTTTCCTGCAGTGCCAACCGTTTCAATTCATCCGAAAAACGTGTTCGTTTCATTCAAAGAAAATATTACTTTAGGGGGTAAGGGCGAAAGGAGTTGGACCCCTGGGCAGAGCCTCCCCTTTTAAAAATTGTTGAGAGTATCCATCTCCCCCCCCTCCCCCCCTCCCCCCAGGGATGCGACTAATAAAATTGAAACAATTTTTCCTCCAGAAAGCACTGTCATCTCTTTCTATCGCCACCCGGCAAGTCTCGCTGCCTCCCCTGGTGAACACCTGATATTTACATGTGCTGTCGAAGGATCTCCAGCACCCTCTATTATTTGGCTGAAGAATAGTTTGAAAGTCGTTGATGATAAGGCCAAGGCCTATCAGGGAAGAGAAAGCACAATCTCAGAGCTGCACATTCTCAACGTTCAAGAACATCATGCTGGTATCTACACCTGCAAGGCAGCAAACGCTACGGAAAGTGGCATCTCTAGGAATGCTTGCTTACCTTAACTGGTAAACCTGATTTCACAAAGCAAGTTATATTAGTTTCTTTATTTTTAGATTTCTTGATTTTGTGTAAACTAATTGACAAGAGGGCATATGGAAGAATACAAGATGGTTTGTCCTGGTACAGCGCCAGTTTTGCCAGAATCTAAGTGATTACGAAGACTCATGCAGGGAGAGAATGGAAATACTAATTAACTCAATTTTTTATCACTGCCAGTATTGTATTGACTCTCCGAAGTTACTTGTATTAGGTGACTCTGAGAAGATTTATTGCACGAGCACTTTAATCTTATAGAGAACTAGGGTTCTATTATAAGTACATGAACGCAGTCACCGAGGGAGAATAACACGTGTACAAAGGCTTGTGTATATCATGTCTCCTTCTAGCTTCCCACGCAGGCGTTTTTAGGAGAGCTCATTTTTGGGGAGGGATGAAAAACGAGCTCACCTAAAAACGCCTGCGTGGGAGGCTAGTCTCCCTCGGCTTGCCTCTCTCTCTATGATTTGTACTAAAGCCGCCGGAAAAAATTAATGGGAGAGGACTATCAGGGTAAGATGTCAACAGTAAAGAGGTAGCATGTCCACGTATTTCCATTTCATTTAACTTTCATTGTCATTTCTATTTACTTCAGGAGACACCTCACCCTCTTCAAGAGTTTCTTTGCTATTCTGGATCTTAGTCGCCGCTGCCGCAGCATTGATTCTTGTGGTGGGGGCTTTGTTATTTCTTATCCACGCAAAGCACAGAAAGGCTGGATTTAACGTCAACAAAGAAGTTAGTAATCCTATAAAACAACAACAACAACCGGTAGACAGTTCATTTTTTTTAACCAGCATTTACACAAGCGAGTTTTCTCAAGTCCTATGGTTTGACATTAACGTTGGTCTTCTTCACAAGGAATAAAGTTGATGAATGTTTAACAATTATTCCTCGAGCCCGAATGGGCTCTGAGTCAATAGCCCAGGCCTAAGGCCGGATGGGCTATTGACTCAGAGGCCATGAGGGTGAGAGGAATAGTTGTTTTAGAAAAATCCAACTAGTTCGTAAAAAAAATCGAGACAAAGCAACTTTAGCAAAACGCGATTCAGCCGCCATTGTGTTGGTTTTCAAAGCTTTTCCCCACTAGTAGGCTATAACATATAGCCTAGTAGTAGCTCAACCAATCAGAACGCAGCATTGATGATAGACCACTAGCTAGTTGGATTTAATTAATTTCTTACAGTCAATTGTGTATATTTGCTCGGGACTGTTAAAGGGACTTTTAGAAGTGTTTACCTTTCAATTTTCTCTTCTACAATATTATAGTATCGTCCAGAAAGTCCTCATTTTTCCTCTGGGGTTGAGCACTTTTGCTGGAAAATGTCTGTCAGATGTGAAATAATACATAACAGAGTCTCAATACGGTGGTTGGATGCCTTTTTGTATACATTGGTAATGGTGTAAATAGGTAGAAAGTACACATGTATTATGTCTTGTTTGCAATTGTGTACAAAAACTACAATGGCTACCTTATTTTTTTTAGAAGTATTATTTAAATTCTCTTTCTTTTTCCAGGTCCCTTTCCTTCTCCAGGATTACAATCGTTTGTCTGAGTTCTTCATACTTTGGTCTGTGGACGTTCATGAGCAACAGTTTCGTTTGTTTCCTAATTAGTTTTCTCCAAATGTTACTTTTACAAACAGATACACTTCCAAAATAACCGCGGGATCGTCCCTCTATACCCTTACATACAAACACGTCCCCAACAGGACGGAAGCGCGCATTCTCTCATAAAAACAAACATCATGATAAAGAAAAAAAATATCATAACATTGGAGACGAACGCGGCCAGCTGCAGAGTGTAGCTCACGGTGACAGGAAATAAAACACAACATGCTACACAATGAAGTCGCATGAAGTTTAATATTTCGTTTTCCGAACACCGTCGCTTACAAAACAAAGCAAAATTATGGTTATCAACAGTGTGTACAAGACTTTCTACGCCTAAATATACAGTAAATATGAACTAATCTTTCAACTATCGGCCGGACTCCTATTTCAGTTTCGCTTACCAGCTGCAAGAGAAGAGAGTAAAGACAGCAAAAACAGAAAAATGCAATTTTCTGTACTCACGAAGTGCACCTTCATTTTTTCCATATGCAAAGTCGACGACGCTTTCACGAACAAGAAGCGATAAAAAATTTTCATCAGAACGAAAAAAAAGTCGTATTTGATATTTTGTGCAAGAATGAATAAGCTACAAGAAAATGCACTTTAAAACCTTATACAAGCCGAGACCACCTTATATCACGGCAAAACTGTACCTTGACTGAATTCTGAAAAGGTGAAATATTGTTTTTAAAGGCGTTGTGTTGATCGCTTCGTTAAAATCACAGCACCGTTGCGATTTGTGCCAGCAGGCCTTAAACCCAAACAACAGTCTTCGTTGTGTTCAGTGACGCAGAATTTGAAGGCCTTGGGCGAGCAAGGTCTCGCAAATAGCCGTCACAATGACGTGTAGAATTTTCGTTCGCCGTCCGCCACTTTGAAAATCGAATAACGGGAATAACCCCAGAGTTTTAATGCGCATGTCCAGCCGTTTTTAAGCCCTGTCGGCCGTTGTAGAGAGGTTCAAATAAAGAGTTAATGTATGGCCTGTCAACCGGGACAACGGGAGAACGGTGGCCGTTTGTGAAGGTTCGACCGTAGTTCTAATAAATGTTTTCTCTGTAAATGCAAAGTGTTGATAAAAATCCCGAAACACACTCAATTTAAATTGATCTTCGCCCCAATCTGATAATTTTTTTGTAAAAAATCCGTTTTACTCAGTTTTGCTGGTGCGGGTCAGTTACCTTTTACAATTTTTTTGTTTAAATCAAGACTGATTGGCCTTTTTTTTACAGAAACGCACCCTGCTATACGAAGGTTGAACCTGCAGTAACTACGACGGGCAGAACTTGGTTTTGCTGCAGTTATGGAATTGTTGTTGATTTTTGTCGCTCGAGAGTGCTCGCTAGCAGCTTAAATTTTTGAACGCAATAAGACAAAATTCCCACTACTGTCCTTTAACCTATCCTTTGATAGGTTTTCTGACTGCTTCTTAGTTTAAAACAATAAATTACGTCTCAGAGACTGTGAAAAGCGCAGCAAAACCCACGCTGGCACGCGCGTCGCTTTAAAAATTATTGGCGGGAAATTGAAAAGTGTGCCTTTAAATTGAGTACAATGTTACTATTACCGGTTTGCCCTTTAAATTAAAAAAAACATTGCGAAACTGACATGTCCATCGTGCCAACATCATTTTCATCAAAGGGTAATTTATCGAGGCATTTTTCAGTCTATCGAGGTCAACGCCCAGACCTTCAACCAGTTATCACGAGAAGGATGCCGTGAACTTTTTTTACAACGAAATTTTCAGTCCCTACCACAAAAAGGGCAAGAATTTGGGAATTATTTAATCATCTGTCAGGCGATGAATTGTTGGAGTTTGCTCTTCCCCGAGTTAAAAAAATGTTACCGACCAAGACGTTTGTGTATAAAAAATGTAAAAAAAAAAGGTGAAATCGTCGAGGAGGCTGTTAAGGAAGAATTGACTTAGCTATGTGTCAACTTATACAAGAGGTTTCCCTCTCTCCCTTGTGACCTTGTCGCTTCGAGAAAAACTAAGGAAGATTGGTTTACCCCAGAACGCCGATGGCTGCGATTTCTCTATGACAGAAATGATCCAAAGTCGCTGTTAGAACATTTAATTGTTCAAAATGAAGTCCAAGCATGTGAAACAATGATGAAAAGTTACAACGGTTAAGTTGTGAAGAACACTTTTATGCCGCTGTTTCTCAAAAAAGAACCACGACGCTTTTCTTGAGTTTGGACTGGGTCATGATTGTGTCTTCATTTAGCATCAGCCAAAACTATGTAAATTCTGTTTTTTTTAGGGGTCATTGGGGAAAACAGTTGGCGGAGAAAACTGCTCTGAATCCAATTCTCTCAAGGTAAGAAAGTATATACCTCCACGAAATCCTGGCTGATACCTAATTTATATACAAGGTCCTATGTTCTCACAAAAATGTATGAGGTAGCTTGAGGACTGGGACAAAGAGAATAGATCAGTACACTTCTGATGAGGCAGTAGATAGGTGTTATAATTATTAGCAAACCATGAATGTAACAATTTAGAAATAATTCAGCATGGATAAGTTTCCTTAACTTGAAAATACCTTTACAATGGAAGTCACTGAAATTTATCCTACTCTTAACTTACCATACTGTAAGTTTTGGTACTTGATTAATTTATAACATATCTAGCTGGATTTTCGATAACGTTATTGCTGAATGGCCCTTTTCCGTCCAACAAAGTAACTATTATAAAAACGAAGAGTGCAATCAGTGCTTTTTTTTCTCCTCCGCTCTTTCTCCTAGCTCTTTCTTTTTCTCCTTTCCATTCAATTCCTTCGATTCGTTACTGTGGTTTTGGAGCTTCTCGGGCGTAGGAAACCTGCCTTTTGACGCCTTTTCACTCAAATGACGGCAAATTTCGTTAGGTTGGTTTTCAAAAAAATCGACTAGATGTTTCCAAAGAATTCTGCCAATCTTTCAAAGTGTGCAATTTCGAAGTGGAGGACGGCGTTTCGGGCCATTTGGCATCAATGCTACTCATTTGGTAGTATCTATGTCATTGAATGATGACGGGTGGGCGGAAAGAGGCAAGACTGGGTCCGGAGGAGGCTACTTTGGTTGGAGGTGGCCCCCCTCTCGGAAAGGACAGGATCTCTGGTCAACATCTAGCCGAATATTTGAAAACGAGCCTGGAAAAGGCCCAGAATATTCGCCACTGCAGTGAGAATTTTCATAGGGGGCTTGGTGTCCTGGTTGGTCTCATCGTCAAGCTCTGAGCTAACTTGCCATGGGGTGGGAAGGGGTCTTCATGTCAATCCCTAGCGGGGGAGGGTGCTACAAAAGCGTGGTGTGGTCCGTTAGTCTCTGGAGAATCAGTTCACTGATCATGTGTTTGCTTCTAGTATGACATGCCAAATTCTTTAAATGTTTGAGGCCGACTGGCCAATGAAAGCATTCCCCTCACCCACTTGATCAGCTGTGGGGGGTGGCTGCAGGTCAGGGTTGGTGATGTGGCCTTGAATTCTCTGCTTTGGGCTTGCTTAAGTCTCAAGCTGCCTCTGTCATGTAGAGCCTTAAAGCAGCTAGAGTGCATGGCCGAGTTGAGAGAGTCTTTTTGATGGACTTGAATGTTTTCAGTGCTAGATCAGGAACCAAGAAAAGAGTTACCTTAGAAGGCTCATGGGTATGAGCTGAGTTTCTTTACAATATTTACTTAATTTAAGTCGTGTTAAGCTGTGTGGGCTCGAGTAGCCAGCTGGTGCGATTTTCATAAATTCGGCTAGATATACTTGGTAGAATTTTTTGTTTCTCAAAAGTTTCGTAATCAGTTCGTCGTACGTTCAACCAGCCAACTGATATATCTTTTTTTTACTTTTAGTCTTTCATTTTAGGGAGGATTTAGTGCATTGTTCAGCACAAAGCTTACTTATGCCAGACCTTTTAGACACAGTGCTGCTGAGATTCCCCGCCCCCTCCCTCTGGAGCATCACCCTACCCTAGGACAAGAGTGTGTAACGCATTCTCCTTCCCGAACCGAGCAGGTACGGCGATGTGAGGAGACCGCAATAGCTGGTTATACATTTACAAAACATCTTCAATTCTTAAGAGATAAGTATTATATTTAGTCTCTATTCATCTTTATGTAAGCTATCGTCGGCAAAATTTGTTCTTTTAGGTGCATGAATTTAATTGGTAGTAAGTTTTGAAACTGGGTGTGATCTGTATGCTGTGAAACATTGAACGCCGGTTAAAATTAGGCTTTTGACTGCTAACTGGCGCATTGAAAGTAAATTTAATAGTCTCCCGGACAATCCGGGAGACTCCAGATTTTGGATCGTATCTCCCGGTGTCCAGATTAGAGTACGAAATCTTCCGGATATTCACCGAAGATTGCTATTCAGTTGTAGACTCGACTTTCGGACAATAAATTTTTAAATATTTTGTGTTGTTTGAGCTATTTTACCGTTAACATCGAACGTTTCCTGATAAACTTTGGTATGGTATAATAATGTGCAATAATGTGAAACATCGTAAATTCGTGACGATCAGGTCAACGAGTATTTTTTGCACAAATGACATCATATACCGTGAGATATGACGTCATGTACCATCCCTTTCCTATCAATTCTCAATATTTGAAGACGTGGGGGGGGGGATGACACCCCTGAAGGAAGTCGAAACTGATAAATATTACTTAATAGCAAAGAGCTTTGGAGGAATCAGGCCATTACCGGCTTCAAAGAGCATTTTTGTTGATTTAACCGCCTTTGAATTCCGTGACCGTGGCGTGAGTTTGACTTCAAGGGCCACTTTTATTGCTTTTATCTGAGGAAGACACCTTGCTCTTTCTATCGGTGAGTAGGTTATGGCTCAAAGCCGTACACCAAGTAGTGAATTTTGAGTCTGAAATTTGCTAATTTTTGTCTGTCAAAAATCGGTAAAATGAGTAAAATAATTAAAAAAACTAAAAAATATTTGATTTGTTGTCGAATAAGAAATTTCACATCAAAACCCTTGGTTAAAATGTGCTCCTTCTATTGAGAATTTGAGAAGCAGATTTTGTTTCCTCTTTAATCTTTTAACGATTTTAAGTAATATATGGTCTTGAGCCAGTTAAAACTGATCCGAGAGCCTTCAAACCGACTCGGTCGCCGCACTCGTAAAATAAAACTCCAATCGAACTGTCTAACAGTTATTTTTCTAGAAATAGTTTACCTGGACTTTCTGACAGTGTTTGGGGATTCTCGATTTTTTTCATTTTGCACACCCCAAGTCGATATTTACGGATGGTCGCTCTTAAAACCAATTTCACAAAACAGGTTAAATACAGATTTCAAAAATAGTTTTTAAATACATTCAAAACAGTGTTAGATTTGGTATGGGTATGGACATCCATATTATGGTTAATTGACAGCTGTCAAAAAGGGTATTCGTTGACCAGTGTTATATGACTGTATTGTGGGCTCAAGTGTACAACTCATTGGGTCGGTCGCGACAAAATAATATCGACCTACGGGATGTCACCTTCGGGTGCTCATTTTCGTTAAAATCTTCGGGTATAGTGCGCCATGCAAAACACCCAGTTGGCCTGAGTCTCGCAATGTGACGTTTAGTCCATTTTGTGTACCAGGAAAGAAAGGTTGATCAATCAAAGAACATGGCTTGCGATATAGTTTAATTTTATTTTTGATATCTGATTTTTGAGTGTAAGACCTAGTTACAAAATACTTATTGCGAGCGACGAAGGAGCCCGCCACCTATTCTTGGTCAGCGGCACTCTTAGCTGTATAGGCGGATTTTTTTCTCGATCTGTTCACACTCCTGTGTTGTACTGACTAATATGCATGGTGCAGGAGCTGAATGGTATGTGGCCTCGAAGGCGCTGGTGATAACGTGAATGCACATGCAAGTGATGCAACAATCATTAATACGCATTTGATTCCGAAGGAAAAGTAATTCAGGTACACAAGTACTGCACTGAATGGGCGATTTTTCGATTCGCCTTGCCGGCCTGGAATCTCTTTACCCACGAAAATAAAAGTAGAGCCTGATCTCAGCTTAGTGCGGGACAAGTTTTCGGTAAGATACGAGTGCTAGCCAAGTCTGGAAATCGATGTAAATTAATATGTAAAAGTTTATTTAGGTTTCACTACAGTGCATGGTTTGTCAGGGTTTTATGTTTTTATACGTTTTCAAGCATGTTACGTCACCTGTCATCCGAAAGCGTAAATAAGCTTTGAACTCAAGTGGTAGTTTAAGCTGTTTCATTATTTTGTATCGCATATCAACGGCCTTTTGTCATTGAACACGGATTGAATATTCGATTGAATAACAAGACTGCATACCCGCACTACTTATGGAAAGAGTAATTACTGTTGCAATGTATCTTTGCCGGCGAATAAAATACAAACGTCTTTTCTCGCTCCTTACCATTCGCAGGTTAATTGTATCTAAGCAACCGCAAATAAAATTGTTGAATTAAATAATTATATGAGTCTTGTTTACTGAGTGTTCAATCCAGTTTTCATGACCTGCAGTAAAAGGAATTCACCTACATAGTATTGTCAACAGGGAGCTTTAGCACCGACGACGGCGACGGCAGCGAAAACGTCATTAAACATGAATTCGCGTTTTTTCAAACTTTCCGCGTTTATTTCAGTTCGCTTGAAATGTCAAAAGTACTGGGCGAATTTCCCTGGAGTTGATTTCTTGGGGACCGCACTAAAGTTCAGAAAGAGAAAGAAAAATTCGTCGTCGCTTGTTTATACGTCTTCCATAAAACGTAAAATTATGCATTTTCACGTTGTAGTCGTGCAGAGACGGCAGAGAAATGTATAATTAGAAAAGTGTGATGCACGTGCAAATTTGTTGTATTTTTGACGTTCTCGTTGCTGTCGCCGTCATCGTTACTTAAGTTCCCGCCAAACATCTACCAACGGGAGATCAAAACGTTTGTAGTGACATGTACCCTACGGTAGGTATTTTAGAATTCACAGTGAATTCAGCAAATAAAACACGACAAAGCAGTTTTTATCTATAAGGTATTTGGTAGTTAAGAATAAACTATATCATTTATATTCGAAAGGCTTCGTATGAGGTTCTTGCCCATTGCTGCTTTTTCGTTCTTATAAAAACATTCTTTAATCGCTTACGTTTAAGTTGATTTTCAAACACTGCTCCGGTACTTGCATTTGTGGTGATGCAATTGGCCACTTGCACTAAGAGGTCACGTGACCAATGCTTCCTTTAAACAATGAGTTGGAATCTTGCTGATGCCAAAAATTGACAGAGCACGTAAAAATTATCTTACAATCGAAATTTGACAGGAAACGCATTTAAGGGAGATATTTTATGGCACTTTGATTTTTCAACAAAGTAGTATCATTTGTATTGACCGCCATGTTGGAGGGCATACTCTTGCCCTCCAACATGGCGGCCAAAACTACTTTTTGCTTAGATCTTGTTAAACGTTTGATAGTTACGCTGAGATGTGCTGTACACATTCCCACATCAATTTTTCAACATTTTCCTTGAAGTTTAAGTGCAAAATTTGTGTTCAGAAACAGGTAATTCATAATTTTAAAAATCACATTTTAGTCACGTGACCAGCTACGAACTCACTCATTTAAAGAAAATGGTGCAGGTTTGAAAAACCAAATCACTATTATTTTGCTAAAAATAGGACCCACAAATCGTTTTTTGAAGAAAAAACCACATAACTTTCATTTTCATAAAACAATGTCACATGACGTCTTAGTGCAAATGGCCTATTGACCTTAACTCGCCGTGACTTTATTTTTAACAATTTTCCTATTTTAGAATAATAGCGGAGCTCTGGCGCGCGAAGCGCGCCTGCGGAGGACCATGGGTAAGTAAATCTACCCATCCCAGAAAATTTGGTAATCACGTGACCGTACACCGCCCTCAGCCCGCCCGTCCGTCCGCACCACAGGTCAACCAATGTTCAATCTCACACTTTCTAGCTAGTTTGGGAGCACAGGAAGACTGATATTGCAGACATATTGCACATCAATCTTGTGATCAATTGACAGCTGTCAAAACAGGGTATCCGCTGACCAGTATCACCTGATCGTATCGCGGGCTCAGGTGTCGACCCATCGAGGTCGAGTATCTTTTTGAAGTTATCCGCTGACAAGTTACTAGTTTTCAAATGATTGCAGGCTCAAGTTTAATTTTTCAATTCATATGAATTATGATGTGTTTTATATGTGCCGCACAATTAAAATTTTGATTTCAAACTGACCTCGGCAGCTAAAAATTAAGCCAGTTTTTACAGGCAGGGAGGACATGCTAGTTGCTTTTGACTTTTCTCACCAAGGTCACGCGTTGGTCACGCTCTACGTCCAATTTTTATACTCTGATTGGTCAAAATTTGACAGGTGAGTTCACGCGGAAAATTTATGCAGCATCTTGAAACTTGTTTACTTTGACAGCTGAAGCTGACAGAGTTTTGTGTCAACTTGTGATGTTTTTAACTGTCTTTTTCCACTGAATGTACAAAGTGAAATTCAGCTGCTATCAAGAGTCTTCTGTTATTCATGGCTAGTTTGTTTATTGGGTTTTTGGTTGAGAAATACGTCGCTTTGGCAAAGTCGGAAATCCGATTTCGGATGGCATCGTTTTCGTTTTTCACCTTGCTTGATGCGTAAGACGGTTGAAAAGTCTGAAGCGATTCTGGCCTTACTTGATAGTTTTCAGTGCATCTCGAAAGGTAAGCCTGAGTAATTATTGTATTTGATGTTTGTTTTTTATATCTAATTTAATGAAGTCGAGCGTAGTTTACGCGGCTATTTGGTTTATGCACGTTTGTAAGATTTGAGACAATGATCTGACCGAGAGTGACCGAGTATCAGGTTTGATTATAAGCTTATGGAACTTTAAAAAGCCTTTAGACATTTTCTCACCGCAAATAGAAAGAAAACGTTCCAAAGAATATTTGGTTATAATTCTGGCTGTAAAAGAAAGCTTTGAGCGATTTTCTTGCCTCGAGTTCATCTTTGAAAAAAGCAAACACCGGGAA